TGTCCCACCAGGCACTGTGAGGCAAATACAGGGAGCAAATACTGGAGACAACATCAGTAAACCCCCTAGCCTTCTACCAGATTTTCCCATTCCCTTGCCTTTAAGATCAGAGCTGTGTGTGTCACATGACTGGCCCCACATCCTTTAACGCAGTGGTCCCCAACCTTGGGCCTCCAGATGTTCTTAGACTACAACTCCCAGAAGCCTTCACCACCACCTCTGCTGGCCAGGATTTCTGGGAGTTGAAGTCTAAGAACATCTGGAAGCCCAAGGTTTGAGACCACTGCTTTAACATATCCTGTTTCCATCAAGTGGGACAGAAGACCCTAATTCCATGGCCAGTGTTGAAGTGAGATTCAGTTGAGCTGGCTTTACGTGGAATATATGTGTGATAAGGTATGGGGGGTATTATTTTGTTCCTATTTATTTACTAAAATATCTTTACCCCACTTTCTCCTTAAAAGGACCCAAGCTGGCTTATATCATTAAAATAACCAAAGCAATATTTAAACAAGAAAACAAATATTAAAAAAGATAATTAAACAAGCATTTATTTAAAACAGTAAATAAAATCAGTACTGTATACTACATTTAAAAGCAATAGAGCAAAATGATTCATTTTTAAAAACCCTATCAGACAACCAGTCACTGCCTGAAGAGAAAGGTCTTTGTCTGCTTGTAGAAGGACAGCAAAGCCTAGCTTCCTGTGGGAGGCAGTTCCAGAGTCTGGGAGCAGCAAGAGAGAAAGCTCTTTCCCGTGTCCCAACCCAGCACGCCTGTGAGGGTGGTGGGACTGAGAGAAAGGCTTTCCCTGATGATCTTAATGCCCAGGCAGTTTCATAGAGGGAGATGCAGTCTTTTCGATAGCTTGGACCCAAGCCATTCAGGGTTTTATAGGTTAAAGCCAGCACTTTGCATTGTGCCAAGAAATGGATTGGCAGCTGGTGGAGTTACTGTCACAGAAAAGTTATAGGCTCCCTGTAACCTGCTCCAGTTAGCAGTCTGGCTGTGGCTTCCTGGACTGAGGCAGCAAAATTTCTTGAATCAGCCCTGTCTTTCTCTCTGATAAATCATGCCCTTGTTTCGCCTTTTGGGACAAGTAAATTCTCTGAGTTTGTGGAACTTTATTTAAAGTAGGTATCCATAATGTTACAACCGTATGACTTTTCCTGGGATGAAAACATGGCAAAACTTCCCATTCTACCAAAAGCAGAAGCTCTCGGCCTTGTTTTGCGGCGTAAACATGTGTATGATTAAGTCACAGCATTTATTTTACCAGATAATCTCAAATTCTAACAAACTATAATCCAATTGCATTGTTATTCAGTTACACACTTGCACGTACACACAAACAGACATCGTTGGTTGAAGACTAGAATTAAGACTATTTCACATTGACTCAAACTCCACCAAACAAGGAAATTTGAAGTTAAGGCTAATGCCCCAACACACGTGGACAGTGACTGTGGTGTACCTTCACCAATTGTGCTTGCTTACAACTTGCCCTCTGTGCACATACACTTTGCCTTGGTCTTTTGGTCACTAATCTTTTTTAAAAATCATTTCAATAATACAGAAGAATATGACAATAATATAACAACCCAAGCCAAACCATCAAAAAGAAAATTCAACTAACATATCAATTAAAGAAAAAGTTTACACAAAATATAACATAAGTGTTCCATCCTGTGCTCCCCACCACCCTCAGAATTAATTAATTAAGTTTACTTTATATTTTGTAGCATTTGTAGCTGCTCCATTTCTCTCCAGAAATATAAGGTATAACCTTTCCCTTTCTCAAACACATGTACTAAAAATACATCCCATACATCTTCAAAATACTTTGTATTTGACATTCCTTTTCTGATCTTAATTTCACTTGTAAATTTATCATTAATAGGATATTTCACATTTCTTTATATCATTCCTTCATATTTCCGGTAATTTCATTTTTATTCTTCCAATTCCTTGAAAATATCAATCTTGCCACCCATATTATAATAACGAATTCCTTTTTCTGGGCCCTAATCTTGTTGTGGAGGATGAGGTGCATTGGACCAGCAAAGTTGCCCTCCTTCTTTCTGTACACTAGACTTTCTTAGCACAATTTACTTCAGAAGCCAGTGCAGGACAGCAGGTTACCGCAAAGAGAATGAATACAGAGTAAAGATGGAAAAGTCTTGGGAGGATCTTGATGTCATAGGGACATAAAAGGTCGTCTTCTACTGGTTCAGACTCTTCATACATCTCATTAATGATGTTGATTGCCAATGGATCTCTAGGAGTTCAGGCTGGACCTTTTCTTTGAAAGTGCTGGGAATTAAACCTGGGAAATTCATGCTAAGAGCTACATGCTAAAAATATTCTCTACCAATGACCGATGGCTGCTCCAGACCAGCTCAACAGTCTTTTCTCATTACACTAATGAGAAAATTGTTGATTTCATTATTGATTCTTTTCCCTTCTAATGCTTCACATAGTTCATATTTTTGCAGAGGCAATCTCAGCCTTTGCTATATATTTATTTATTTTGTTTGTTTAAACTATCCTGTTTTTTTTCTAGGTAGTGAAACCGTCACACCAGTTGTTAAATATTCTTTCAATTTCCTCACAGACAGGGATTCCAATCATGAAAACTCTACTTTTGCTTGTAAATATTATTGGAATAGCCATTGCTTTTCCGGTAAGTACAGAAGACAAGGAAAATAATATCTCTAGATAAGGTTCACATGGCTCATTTGGCTTCCTTCCTTCCTTCCTTCCTTCACATCCTGGGTGAAGATGACGATCCCCCCAACCCCACCTTGTTCACAGAGATGGACACCCTCCAGCATGACGGAGAAGAACTGGAGTGGAAGGAGTCAGCCAGGTATTCAGAAAGCAGGAGGGTAGCCAGGCGGCTGGTTCTCCTTCTCAAGGGGTGCCCGCTTCCCTCTTTGGCTGCGAGGGTTCTCCCAAAGGGGGAAAAGGCCGTTCCGTCTCCTCCAAGTGTCCCGTTCTGTGGTTCCCTGAAGTTCTTGCAGGATTCTGCTGGGAGCTGAGTGAGCATTCATTCCATGTTTGCTATCTATCAGCAGTTGAAACTTCCTTCCTTCCTTCCTATTTAACTTGATCTTTTTAATGACTTACAATAAGACTTGTACAGTGCATTGATAATTAGAGTGATATAGTGGATAGAGCAACAGACTTGGAAATATACCTGGGTTTGAATCTCCACTCAACCACGTAAACTTCTTGGGGGTGTGGAATTGGTAAAACCATTCCTATCTTGGGGGTGTGGAATTGGTAAAACCACTCATTAAACATCTTTAACATCCTTAAACATCTGGGAAGAGCCTCGTGGCACAGTGGTTACATCTTTAACATCCTTAAACGTCTGGGAAGAGCCTCGTGGCACAGTGGTTAAACTGCTGTACTGCAGCCAAAACTGTGCTCATGACCTGGGGTTCAATCCCAGGTAGCCGGCTCAAGGTTGACTCAGCCTTCTATCCTTCCGAGGTCGGTAAAATGAGTGCCCAGCTTTCTGGGGGAGGGGGCAATGTGTAGCCTGCATAATTAACTTGTAAACTGCCCAGAGAGTGCTTGAAGCACTATGGGGTGGTATATAAGCAGCACGCTTTGCTTTGCTTTTACTTTGAAAGTGCTGTTAGAACTGTTATAAGTCATTTCTGACTTGAGGGCATATAACAACAGTGACAGTAGGTTAGCTCAAGCTGATACCACCTCAAAGAAAAGCATCTCATCTCTCTCTCTCTTCTGATACTGCACACTCTAAAAAGTATGTCAAAACCTCAGTACAGGAAAGGAGGCAGACTTTGGTCTATATGAGAATTGGGAAAAATTATCTTCTGTCTAATTCCAGTCACAGAAGTTCTGACAGATCAAAGCCACTAAGTTCTAGTCATGAAGAAATGTGTCCTTTTTGTGAAGCAGAAACATGTAGTCCTCCATATGTTGTTACACTGCAACTCCCATTAGCCACATCACCAATAGTGAAGGGTGTGGGAACTGTAGTCCAATATCTTCTGGAGGGCCATACACTCACCATTCCTTAATTAAAGAGCACAAAAGTATTAACGGAAGACTAGCAAGATTTACACTGAACTTTCATGGTCCACTATGTTCGTCTAAACAAGATTTCCTATATTTCCTCAGAGCATATAAACATTGTATTGTTTTATGCACTTCTTCATGATAGATCCAGAAAGATGAACCTCTACCTGGAACTGGCTATGGGGGCAATATAAATTTGATTAACACAGATAAAGAAGTCTTACAGATCGATGCTGCTAATGAAAATGGACACTGGCGAAATGGAGAGGAGGAAGAAATATTTCTTAATCCCCCTAAAACATATGCTGTTGCTGGAGAAGTGTCTACTGTTGATACTATCAGTCACCAAGAAGGCTATCAGCATAAAATGGATCACCGGCTGCTCCATGAAGATACTACTCTGGTGCAGGCTGAAGACAAGAGTCAGCATGTCACAAAGGAAAGCATGGGCATGCATTTCAAGTTCCCCACCAAGAAAGACATTAAGAGCCACCTCATTGACATTTTAAAAGAGATTAGTCATAATGCAGGACAAAATGGCATAGAGCCTTTGAGAAACAGAAACGCAGTTCATGGCCCCATATTAGTCAAAGCAGGTCCCATCATCCATGAAGCAGAGATATGTGCTGAGAAACAGCTTATCGAGGAATTCCAAGCTAGGGGTGATTTCGTGGCAAGAAAAAATGTGGATGCACAGTACAAGAATCCTTACATTTTCCACAGTTACCATTTAGAGGACGAAGGCATGCAAGGAGACGAGCCAGGTTATGGCGACGACTCTGATTCTAGTCAGCAGGCACAAAGCCAGAGCAATTCCAGTCAGTGGCCAGAGGAATCAGATAATCCAAGCAGTTCAAATAAGGAAAGTTCAAAACAATCTGGCTCGTCACTGAACTCTGGAAACCAGAAGGACTCCAGTGGTTCCTCTCATTCCAGTAGTTCCAGAGACACAAATGATTCCAGGGTGATTCCCAGTGACTCTATGGATTCTCATGATTCTAGCAGTTCCAGTGACTCCAGCAGCTCAAGTAGCTCCAGTGAGTCTAGTGATACCAGTGGTTCTAATGACTCAAGAAATTCCGGGAGTTCTGAGTCACGTGATTCCAGTGGCTCAATTGATTCTGATGATTTTTCCAAATCCAGCATCTCCAGTGGTTCAAATGCTTCCAGTGATTCTTCTGAGTCCAGCAGCTCCAGTGATTCCAGTGATTCAAGGGATTCTTCTGACTCCAGCAGCTCCAGTGGTTCCAGTGATTCTTCTAGCAGCTCCAGTGCTTCCAGTGCTTCCAGTGATTCTTCTGAGTCCAGCAGCTCGAGTGATTCCAGTGATTCTTCTAGCAGCTCTAGTGCTTCCAGGGATTCTTCTGAGTCCAGCAGCTCCAGTGATTCCAGTGATTCTTCTAGCAGCTCCAGTGCTTCCAGTGCTTCCAGTGATTCTTCTGACTCCAGCAGCTCCAGTGATTCCAGTAATTCTTCTGACTCCAGCAGCTCCAGTGGTTCTTCTGAGTCCAGCAGCTCCAGTGATTCTTCTGGGTTTAGCAGCTCCAGTGATTCTAGTGATTCTTTTGAGTCCAGCAGCTCCAGTGATTCTTCTGACTCCAGCAGCTCCTGTGGTTCTTCTGACTCCAGCAGCTCCTGTGGTTCTTCTGACTCCAGCAGCTCCTGTGGTTCTTCTGACTCCAGCAGCTCCTGTGGTTCTTCTGACTCCAGCAGCTCCTGTGGTTCTTCTGACTCCAGCAGCTCCTGTGGTTCTTCTGACTCCAGCAGCTCCTGTGGTTCTTCTGACTCCAGCAGCTCCTGTGGTTCTTCTGACTCCAGCAGCTCCTGTGGTTCTTCTGACTCCAGCAGCTCCAGTGATTCCACTGGCTCAAATGGTCCTAGGAATTCTTCAGAGTCCAGTGATTCTAGTGACTCAGTGGTTTCTTCAGAGTCCAGTAGTTCCAGCAATTCTAGTAATCAAAGTGATTCCAGCAACTCCAGAGCTTCCAGCACCTCCACTAATTTAAGTGACAGTAGCACCTCGAGCTCTAATGATTCTGTGGATTCCAAATAAACAATCGGAGGCGTCATTCAAACAGCACTGGGGAAGGTGGTAAGGAACGCTGAGGAAAAAGCTAAAGCCTGTGAGAACAATCAGTTAAAAGGATAAAATCGTGATGGCAGTGAAATGAGTAATAAGAGAAATTACTGTGGTAGTGAGGCACCATTAAGTAGAATTCTAAAATGAAGTTAATACTTGCTCTGTTGAAGCCCTTCATTCTGATTGAACTGTTGACTTGTCCATTGCAAAAGGGACAATGGGTCCCTAACTGGAAACGCTCAATGCTAATATATATTCCTTGGGTCCTCTATGGAAACCAAATTTTTTGCTTTGGACAATTGTAACTTTTTAATTTAACTAATTATAACTAGCCTCAAACCAATCAGTATGTTTAATGTAAATATACTCTACACAAATAGGAACAATTCCTTATTCTGATGTAGGAACACGTAACACCTGTATTGGACCACTAAAGAGATAAAACAAAAAAAATCTATTGTTAACAATCCAGGGAGTTCCTTGATCACTCATAAAGGCTCTTCTTTCCCTTTTCACTACAGGAATAGTGTTTCTGCATTTTCCCTGATAATATATCTGCTTTCATTCCATAGCTCTTCTGGTTCCCAGTCATTTTGGCATTGCTACCAGCACTGAGACCAGTTTCTGTAAGCAGAATAATGCCTTAATACAAACTTTGAATCAACACAGATGTCCTTAGAATGCCAAAACCAGGGAGAAAAGAATTCAGAATCCTGGTTGGATATGATACACAAATCCTTCTGTCTAGTATGCTTTGTGGGGTTTTCTTTGGTGAGGGCCATTTGTTTTCTTTACTTCTTTGGGGGACTGTGGCTTCCTCTTAGAGCTAGGGTGTGGTAGCTTGACAACTCAACAAAGTTAGTATGCTGAAGTTGTCAAAAGGACAACCTCAGGCTGTGCTGTAAATATCCTTGCAGAACAGGGCAAACATCACTTTGCTTAGGAAAAGAAATAATAAAAACTAAGCTTGGGATCGCCAACTGTGCCATCAACAAAGACCTTTTGTAGCCTCTGTCAAGACTGCAGCAATTAGATTAAATAGTACCCTGTCATACCTTTGGCAAAGTCCATGGATTCCAGGTTTTAACAAGCTGAGTTATGGTCCTTGTAGTAATTTTCAACCAGCCTTTTAATCACAAAGCAATGAGAGCCTGAGCAGTTGGCATAACAATAAATATAACATCTAAACACTGCAAAACAGCAGGACTAGAACACATGGATGGCAATGGCAGGAAAGCTGGTTTCAAATAAACAGGAGTGTCTTAACAGCACAAGCTGTTCTGCAGCAGGGCCAATGGCTGAAGGAGATGGTCATCTCTCCTGCACTAGAGGTATTTAAGCTTAGATCAGATGTGGTCTCTGTGACAGACATCATAACTGTGTGTCCTGGATTGCAGAGCCTGCATTAAGTTGCGTGTAGACTAAATCAGGTATGCGAACTCTTTGGCCCTTCAGACATTTAATTTACAAGACCCCATTTGTCTTGTCCAACATTGCCAGATTATGGAAGTTGTAATCCAAAATAGTTGAGGATTTCTAAGGTTTCTTCCATGTTTACAGTTCCATTAAACATAACTGAGAATGGAGCAAGAAGTTGCAGAGAACTTTCAGCTGGAGAAATGTCTACTGCAATAACATGGAATCATGGATCAGTTGATCTAGGGAGTTACAAAGGGAGAGAAGAAAATTGAGCAGAATTTGGAGAATAAAGTAGTGATGTGGCACAGCTCAATACAATTATAGCCTAGGGTTATTTAATTTATATGCAGAATAAATCATGCAAAAGGCTGGACTGGAGGAATCCCAAGCCGGAATTAAGATTGCAGGAAGAAATATCAACAGCCTCAGATATGCAGATGATACCACTCTGTCTATCTCAAGATTAGACTACTGTAATGCTCTCTACATGGGGCTGCCTATGAGGTTGCTATGGAAACAGGTCCAGGATATGGCAGCCAGACTAATGACTGGGATGAAGAAATGCCACCATACAGTATCTCCCCTACTCTGGCTGCCTTGCACTGAATATGGCAGCGAGACTAAAGACTGGGATGAAGAAATGGCACCATATCTCCCCTACCCTGGCTGCCTTGCACTGGATACCTGTTCATATCCATGCCAGTTTCAAGTTCATGATGCTGACTTACAAAGCCCTAAATGGTTTGCAGTTTCAAGTTCATGATGCTGTTCTAGCCCTAAATGGTTTGGGACCTCAATATCTGGCAAACGCCTCCTTCTGCCTGTTTTATGTGATCTTCCTAGGTCGTGAAGTTGAGAACACCAACTTTGAGAGAGGGCTAGAGAGAGAAGACCAAAAACTGGGCCTTCTCGATGGTCGCTCCTTGTCTTTGGAATGATCTCCCACCTGAAATTTGCCTGGTCTCTTCACTGGGAATTTTTAAACCATCACTGAAAACAAGGCTTTTCGGGCAGGCTTCCCCCAAAGTACAGTATTTAACATCCTAATTCAGTGGTCGTTTCAGCGTTTTATACTACCTGTTCTGCCATCTTGCCTTTAAATTAGTCTACGTTTATTTGATGTTTCATTTTGATTGTTATTGTGTTTATTGTTTCATATGATTGTTTATCTTCTATTTTTTTAGTTGTAAACCACCCAGAGTGACCCCGGCAGCCCAATGGGGTGTACAGAAGTCAAATGAATGAATGAATGAATGAATGAATGAATGAATGAATGAATGAATAAGACCAACAGAATCCCCAAACTGGCATGGCCAATGGCCATGTGACTAGCGATTCGGAAAGCTGAAGTCCAAATGTGTAACTTTGCCCATCTCCGATTGGGTGCAAAATGCTGCACCAAATGGGCCTCTTGGACTAATTTAGCAGGACTGTCTATATGGTTGCTGATGCAATGGGGGCTCTGCATTCTTTGCAACATGTGATTCTGTCCTGAGCAACATAGCTACTTCCTCTGTGCAAGGGTGGCAAGCTTTGTTTTAGAGGGAATGTATTTCACTTTAAGGCAATGCTAAAGCTTCCTTTTGTACATAGGAATGAAATGTAGTTCATATTCCCATTTCTTTCCCTCCTTCATTTTCCCACAAAAATTCTTGTAGCGGGAATATTTATAGACAAAGACTGGGTTAAGGAGAAAGCAACGGGCAAATGCAGCTTAAATATAGAAACTGATATGGCTGTATATAATTTTGAAACTCATCTCTTTACTTTGCCAGGGGTGTAAAAACTATCATGGTTATTTGAAAGGCTCCCAGGATATGCGATGTCTCCTTCATATGAATCATCACTAAAAGTAGCTTCAATATAACAGTAATTCAAAGTCAAGGAAATGATGCTTCTAAGAAATCCATTTGATGCACCCTAATTGTGATGTTCATTGAATTAGAAAAGCATGTTTTAGAACTCACACAAAGAGACAATTCTTCAGTGTGGCTAATTTCTAGGCTGGTTTCAGGTCTAAAATGAGCATTTGACAAGTATTATTTGCTAGGCCTTATGTTCTCTTAGCCTACCATGCTATGGTGGTAGCATACAAAGCAACACTGAGTAGGTGACATTTGTCACAATCCCTCAGAGCAATGAGAATTTGGGGACATTGCGGGACATTAAACGGGCAGATGGATCTGGACCAGTTTGCAAGAGACACAGTAAACCTCCATACTTACAACTTCTTTGGTTCTAAGTCATGGGCAAGCTGCACAGTCCCAGGATGCCCTCAGAAGAAGGGGATGGTAAAGCACTTTTGAGTATTCTCTACCTAGAAAACCATGGAAACGGTTACCATACGTCAGAATTGACTTAAGGGCATGCAACAGTTATTATTATTATTATTTTAGAAACAGAGAACTGCATTGCTAAAATTTGCATAAGTGGGATTACTGAGATATGATTACTGAAGTATGACTGCATTCATTTTTGCACATTGATTCAGATAGTAACAATTAAGTGGGTTTGCATTTCAATAAGAACGAAAAATCTTTTTCTCTTCCATCTCTGATAACAGATCTGTCTGTCGGGAGATGCTAAAGGGGCAGCAGTGGCTCCAGCCAGAGGTTGGATTTTCTCACACTAGAATACAGCTACATATAGGGGGCAACAATGAGCTGGAAAATTTAAGGCTGGACTCCTCAGGAGCTAAATATGGTCTGGCTTCTGGGAATGATGTCTCAGCAGAGGGACTGCGGTTTGGCACATTGTCTGGATCCAGGGATATTTTTACACCTCCCCATCTTGAGCTATTCTTTAAAATATCTCAGTTGCATTTTTGGTAATACATCTCTTCCCTAACCGTGTTCTTTCTTCCATAGTTCACTACACAGACCTATCCAGGTTGTTTTTGGTGCGTTTGTTTTGCACACCAACCAAATCAATTTACCTGCAAGGAAGCCAAATGATTTAAATGGTTCTGGTTTCAAAGCAAACATGAGTAGAGAAGGGCCTTCGTGTTACACTGGTACAATTCTTTGCATGGATGGAAATCTGCCTAAAATCAATTACACTAACTTCCAAATAACCATGGTTATTATGAGACTGGATTTCAGAGGTGTTTTTTTTTTTTTAAGCATACTGTTCCTGATTTTCTACCATGTTTTGGGCTTTAACATTATAGTAAAGCCAGCTAAGATCATGACCACTGGTCCCACCACCTCCTGGCAAATAGAAGGGGAACAAATGGAGGCAATGACAGATTTTACTTTCTTGGGCTCCATGATCACTTCAGATGGGGACAGCAGCCACAAAATTAAAAGATAGCTGCTTTTTGGGAGGAAAGTGATGACAAACCTAAACAGCATCTTAAAGAGCAGAGACATCACCTTGCTGAAAAAGGTCCACATAGTCAAGCTATGGTCCATCTTTGTGTCCTCACCAGGCATGTCTGTGAGGATTGAAAGGTTTGTCCCAGAGATCATATTACTAACTTTGGCAAATTGCACAATGGTGTCCCTGCCTAGTTGTTGGGAGGAAAGCGATGGCAAATCTTGACAGCATCTTAA